TATGAAGATATTTATATATTATTCTATTTGAATGTATCAATATTTTTTCCCTCGTCTTTAGAAGTTTTTAAGTCTGTAAAAAAGAAGTTTTTGAGGAAGAAGAAGAAGTAGTATTTTTTTAATTTTTTTTAGACTTTAGAAACTCAGAAGCTGATCAAATATCAAGTTAAATATCGGTACAGGCCGATACCGATAGGGGGCCGATTATATCGTGCATCCCTAATAAAAAAAAAAAAAATATATATATATATATATATTCTTTATTGTCATATTATGATAACTTTTTGCATATGTATGTGTGTATGTGTATATATATATATATAAACTCACTGTGTTCAGTTTCAGGCTGAATATAATTTGCCATAAGCTCATATTTTTTCTTGGATTCCTCATTATGTGTTTTTCCTGTCAGTTATTGAAGGTTTAGCTCTGCTTGATCTGGGAGTTTCACCATATTCTGGGGATGTTTTCCACGAGGTGAGGCAGCAAAATGCTTCGCTTATTTATCTCATTTAAGTGGATTAGAATGTTTTCAAATCATAGTTTATTTCTTTTTTTATGAATGCAAACAAACACGGTGCCAAAATGAAGCATGGCGTTGAATTTTATCACAGTTTCTGCAACTTTTCTTTCTTTTTTTCTATCCAGACGCCTCTCATTATTTACCTCTTTCACTTCTTGGTGGATTATGCAGAAATCACGTTTATGGTAAGAGAGCAAAAATAATTGCACTTTTGAAAGGGAGAAAAAAAATCTGATTGTTAGATTATTTCAGTTATTGTTTTCTGCTTCTCTCTTGTTAGCTGGCGGACGTGATCACAGCCGTTGCTCTTTACATGGCAGTGAAGCACTACAACAAGCAAGTGGTGAGAAAATGCTAAATGTATTAAGTAAACGAAAATTTTGGGAGAATTTCTTGCCTTATAACTACGGGATTTTATCAAACAGGGAGCTTAAAGATCCAATTCAAAGTGAATGTAGCACTCTTAATGAATACCATGGCATGAGTCATGGGGGGGGAGGAAATTTTCATCTGTTCAGTAGTCAGATTTCACCAAATAAGGTGGCTTTATTGAAATGAGACGCACTTTAAAAAAAATAATATAAATTAGCTTGAAGCAACCATTTTTACTAAGGTTACCTCACATAAGCTGAATGCAGTTATAGCTGTACCTATTTGTTTAGCTTTATATGACAAATCTTCCCTGTAGAATATTTTATTCACCACTAGATGGCCTCAGTGAGTGTTTGATGCTAATATTAGGCATCACGCCATTTCTCTTTCAGTTCAGAAAGCAGAAGTTTGCCCTGGAGGCGAATCGCTATCCTGCCGACTGTCTGGAGCTCATCAGGAGCCCCACAGAAATGTTCTACATCCCCCTGAAAGTAGCCATGTTGTAAGTACCTCCAGCTCCTTCAGGGGGCGCTCAAACCGTCCAGATTGATGCGGCTTGAGGAGTAGCCATTCTGTTTTATTTCATCTTACAGTTACCTTTTGAACCCGTTCACCATCTTGTCCTGCGTTGCCAAGTCCACCTGCGGCCTGAACAACGCCGTCCTCTCCCTCTTTCTCCTCTCAACGATTAAAGGTTGACTGCAGATTATTCTTACATTTAAATAGTTAAAGAAATGCTCTCCAGGATTAGAAAGATTTCTCTGTAGTTTTTATTTCATCACAGAACCTAAAGAAGTAAAAAAAAAAAAAAATCCTCTAGACTTTGTTTCCAGGTTTGAAGACGTTTCTCTTCCATCCAGGAAGATTTTTCAAATTAAAAATGTCAGAAATAGGGTTGAGTTCCAAGTTTTATCCAACAAGTTCATCAAAGAGGATGCCAATGACAACAAACTACCTTTCCTGGACTGTTTGGTGAGCAGGGAAGGAGATGGAAGCCTAAACATTGAAGTCTATAGGAAATCCACTCACACAGACCCAATATTTTCTTTTCAACTCACACCACCCACTGGAACACAAACTTTCAGTTATCAAAACAGCGGGCAGAACATGTCCCTACTAAAACAACGGAAGCACAAAGAACATAAACACATCAAAGATTCTCTCCAAACCTTTGGATACCCAAACTGGGCGTTTGTTAAATCAGCAAGGAAATCCAAAAAAACACGTTGCAGAAAGAAACGGTGAGAAGATTAAATGCAAAAGCATCTCCGCCCCATATGTTGCTGCAGTCTCTGAAAAAAACTCAAGAGTTTTTTTTTTCTCCAAACACTAAAATCCCAGAACATTTCAAACCAAACAGACCCTGAAACAGAGACTAGTTCATCCTAAAGACCTGATCTGAGCACAGTGGTGTCTGCAGGTCAATGCAGTGAGGAATGCTCTGATCTTTATATTAGAGAAACCAAACAACCTCTCCACAGACGCATGGCCCAACACAGAAGAGCGCCCTCCTCTGGACAAGACTCTGCAGTACATCTATACCTGATGGACAAAGGACATTCTTTGGACGACCAGAATGTTCACATTTTGGACAAAGAAGACAGGTGGTTAGAGAGGAAGGAAGCCATCTATGTTAGAAAAGAAAAAACAACCTTAACCCTTTAAAGCCCGATCCAAGAATAAAACAAAACAGAAAATTACTTTTTTTTGTTTGAATTCCTTATTTGGCCTTTTAACAAAATATGTAAAAAGAAAAAACAGAAATACATTTTTGATATTAATAATTTATTACTATGCGATAAGTCAAGATTATTTTTAGTGTAGTCTTCTGCCCTCTGTTATCAGGTATATCTGATTGTGTACAATAGGATTCTGAGCAAAGTTTTTACCATTAAATTATGCAAAAGGTGTCAGACGCAAAACATTTCAGAAACTGTATGTATCAAATACGATACATCTGCCATTACAGTCGTAGGGAAGTCTTTCATTCTGGCATTGATAAACGACCAATCAGATTCACTTTATTCACTCGTGTAAAGTCGGGCACCACTCGAGAGAATTCCTACGAATTTAAATACAGAAATGCAGTAATAGAGTTGATTCCTTCCCGCTATCATCGCAGCCCCAACCCCTTTACAGGAGAACGGAAGACCTCGCCTATTCAGCCAGGCCAACTATTCCCTCTAACGACCCCCCTTTCAGAGACATAGACAGGTATGGGGCATTGCAGGCTAACAAAGAAGCCAAACGACCCCCATTTGTCTCTTCCAATCTGCATGTTTTCTAAACTAAAACCAGGCTTTGTTGGGCTGCTGGATAAAACCTGGAACTCAACCCTATTTCTGACATTTTGAATTGAAAAAGCTTCCTGGATGGAAGAGAAACGTCTTCAAACTTGGAAACAAAGTCCAGTGGATTGTTTTTAACTTTTTGGAATAACTATGACCTGGATGACTGAGAATCAGAATACGATAGAACCTGTTTTTTATGCTTCTGTTCTTCTATAATATTAATGTCTGGCTGTCAGGAAACATGCTGCTGAGTGCCATCTTCCTGTGTCTGGCCACGTATCAGTCCATCTACCCGCTCACGCTGTGCGCTCCAGCCATGCTGTATCTGATGCAGGTACGTTTTGTCCAGGATCTGGTTCTCAGTTCTCAGCGTTTGGAGATCTTCCCTAACGTGCTGCTCCCCCCTCAGCACCAGTACGTCCCGGTGAACCCGCGGCGCGCCAGCTTCTGGTGGTTGGTGGTGCAGTATCTCTTCATGTACCTCGGCAGTTTGTTTGTCATCGTCTGTCTGTCCTTCTTCCTGCTGGGATCCTGGGACTACCTGCCCTCCGTCTACGGCTTCATGTGAGTCAGAACGTAAACAAACACCGTCTGGAAATGTCGTTTCACAAACCTTTGTTTTTAATCTATATAGAGGTTAATAACAGAGGAAGCTGCACAGGTTTCGTGGTAAACATCAGCTCTCTGCTCATCCTAATGTTTTGGTTTTATTCTCTCCTTTCAGTCTTTCGGTTCCTGACCTGACCCCCAACATCGGCCTCTTCTGGTACTTCTTTGCTGAGATGTTTGAGCATTTCCGCCTCTTCTTCCTCTGCGTCTTCCAGATCAACGTTTTCTTCTACACCATCCCTCTCTGCATCAAACTCAAGTAAGTCATCTTTCCGTCTGATCTGTTCATCGTTGTTTGTGTCCTTTATCCTAACCCCCGCCCTGTACGTGTTGGTGGTCGCCCTGCAGGGATCACCCGGTGTTTCTGATGTTCATGCAGTTAGCTGTGATCTCCATCTTCAAGTCTTACCCCACTGTGGGCGACACAGCCCTCTACCTGGCCTTCCTTCCTGCCTGGAGTCACCTGCATCGATGTGAGTAAATAAAGAAACTAATCTCAGCTTTCGCTGGTTCCCCAGCTTGTGTGAAGCTTCTTTTATGTTCATTTTACCTTAATTACTGTAAGGTAAAGCAAATAAGCGTCCAATATATAATAAATACATTAAAGAGATTCCAAAAAAAGTTAAAGAACAGTCCGCTGGACTTTGTTTCCAAGTTTATAGATGTTTCGCTTCCCATCCAGGAAGGTTTTTCAATTCAAAATTCTCAGAAATAGCGTTGAGTTCCAGGCTTTATACCAGAGGTCATTGAGTAAAGGACCGCGGTCCGGATCCAGACCAAACCTGATTTAAAACATTTATAAATTACCGCATGT